TAATAATAATAATAATAATCTTTATACAGGAGGCGCCACTCACTAATGTGGTTTTCAGGGAGGTCCTGAAATAAAAATGATGGCAATCAAAAAAATTAAATTAAACCAAAATTATTACAGCGTTGATTAAAAACCTCTAACAGCTAAATATATATATATATATATATATATATATATAACTAAAGATATATAAAGTTGAAACATTGAAACTCGTAGTAAAATATAAAATACAATTATTCATTTACGGTTAATGCAACTATCTAGCTTATATATACCTAATATTTACATTAATGTTTTACGCAGGACATTCTTTAAGTCTCTTAAAGACTTACTTACTTACTTACTTACTTACTTACTTACTTACTTACCTTTGTTCCACTTCTAATGTCATTACCTTTGACCAAAATTGGCATTATCTATACTTAAATTCTGCAAGAGGAAAAGATCTTTTCAATGATACCCAGATGAGAGTGAAAAACTCAAAGTGAAAAACGCAGAGCTAAATTTCTTGCGACTACACGTGGCTACTCCATGGTAAAAATTGCCCGTCTCGATGATGCTTTCTCAGAAAGTTTTCAACTGGAACCAAGCCCAGGAGAAAGTGAATCACTTCAGCAAAAGTATAAGAAGAGGAGAAATAGGAAAGGCGAAAAAAAAATTGATTTCTGCGCATGCCCGAACAAAATTGTCGTAAAACGCGATGCTAGTGGGGAGAAAGCCATGCTGTCATGTTGCAAATGCTTTTTTGGGTATATTGATGCTAATTTGGCCCATATCCAGGCTGAAAATCTCCAAAATGTCCAAGAGATGCGTTTCTGGCAAAAAGCTCCGCGAGTCAATGGGCCAGTAACTACAAACATTTATAGAGCTTGTGAAACTTGGTAATTGGTGAAAGTTTTGGCTCTTTGGGGTGTAATATTCGAGAAGGGATTGGCTTTCAAAAACTGAAAAATTTCTGGGTGGCAAAGGCGCTAATAAGCTCACACATTCTTTGTAAAATTTTGAGATTTTAAACCCGCGTCGCTCAAAAAGTATTCAATACATCGGGCTCAAATTAAATTCCTTGGGACAGTGAATCGTGCGCATGCCATGCCCTTTTCAATATTCAAAACTGGTGTCTTTGTAACTTCATCAGAAAATGTATCGCTCATGCTAATCAGACAAGTATTGTAAACTACGATTCTTCTATAATAAGGGTGCTTAGTGACCTGAGACACCAAATCTCCATCTCTACGCCATTCCGAACCTGCTGTGTTCCGGAAATTTAGTATTACTGTCGCAGTCAGATGGTTTTGAAGTTGCCTTAATGATAGCGGCCGGGTTGTTCAAAGCCTGATTAAACTAACCCAGGATTAAAGAGAATTTTGATTTCGGTTTTGTAACTTTTCAGTCCAGTTTTCTGTTTATGTTGCTTGTCTTTCAGTTTTGAGTTTGGTTCATCTTAAACTACACAACGATAAGCAGTGAAAGATATTTCTATACAAAAAATATATCACTTCTTCTAACTTTTAATCCTGGATTAGCGCTAACCGGTTTTCGAACAACCCGGGCCTGTGTTTCTCTTGTTTTATACAAGGTACTTTCAGTTCCAAGTGTCAATTAATCACGCAATCTCCAATGAATTCTTCAAACAACTAAGTAGTTTGCCAGTAAAAGATACCCAGTGGAGAACAAAACAGCTCATCTCTGGGAGCAACCCCGGGGCTACGGTAACATCACAAAACGTGTGATAGGCCCAGATGTAAAATATAGACCGAGGTCTCTATTTCTTTGAAGTGACTAAACCCATTTTCTTGGTTCATCTTACTTCTAACCTTTTAGGTTCATATTATAGGAAAAATTCGTTACCTGACGAGGGAATTCAACGTTAAATTTCCAGCGAAACACCGATATCGCACGAATCGCTCCGACTAGGTACATAAACACGCACTAAAAGAACTGGGCTAATATCCAGCCATCTTGACTTCACGCTTGGTCAATAACCCATATACCGTATTGACCAATTATCGCTGCATGGGAGAATCACGATTTCCATCCCAGCTCACCTGAAGGTTCCTTCAAGTTACAACACAAAATCACAAGCAACCTACATCAACGCCATTGACACGCGGAAAGATCTACAAGAACAGCTTCTTCCTAATAACAATTAAAGATTACAACAGCTTACGCCAGTTAAAACCAGAGATCCCTTTCAGACAGGCTCTACAGGCACATTTTAACATTTCATTTTCTTTTGTAAGAGCGACATGCACAGCACAGTATTACTTTGCATTATATTAAGCGGCTTGATCACACGCACCTGCACGAGCACTCCGTAGCGGGATGGGCAGCCTTTGCCATGTAAAATGATGCAGATGTAGATACTTTATCCTTGTATTTCCTAATTTGTTGCCCATTCTATCTAAATGACTTGGTTTCTTTCTCAGGTCTTCTAGTCTGCCAAGTTCAGTTTAAGATAAACAAGTTGCTGCCAAACAAATATCTTCTTTTCGCTTGTGATCGGTCAACCCAGGACCTGAATATTAGAACAGTATCTGTGAGTACGAGTGCCTCTGCTGAGTTTAAACTGCCGCTTATCTTTTTTGTACTGGCAATCTTGGTCAGTTAGCGTCCTAAACATTGTTGCGGAAATGTTTCTTTACAACTTGGGCCGTTTTATGTATAATCTACGAGTAGTCCCTCTTTCGCTTAGTCCGCCCACAGGCGTACCAAACTCACGATTCGAGGAATCGATCAAATATGAATGATTTATCTAAGCGTATCGAGTGGGACGTGACCACCTAAGTGTGTGGTTTTGTGTTACACTTTGGACCGTTGAGAATTTGAGCGCTCTAAAAGGCATTGTATGGAGTTTAAAACAACAAAGGATGAAAACGCGCAACGAAATAAAATGTTTTTTTTTTTTTTGGCTAAAATAAAGAAAATATACACACCTCGCCTGGCTTCTGTTGTCCATTTGGCCTATTTCTCCGTTTTGGGACTTTTTGAGGTGTTTGTCGCAGCTTTCAATCAATCAAACTTCATTTAAAGAGGGTTACACGTAATAGTTTTACATCTAATAAACCTGTGGCCCTCGATTAGGAATTATTAAAGATATAAAATTTTAAGATCTAAATTAAAAATCTAAATATACAAATATAAGAACATATAGACGAAGTCACGTGGGTATCCAATTAACACTTTTTCAATTGGATACCTGTAGTTGGACACCCACGTGATCGCGCTCCGATTACCTGGCAAATAGGTGCGCAGAGAACCAATCACGATCGAGAATTTTGTTATAGATACTATTACTCCCTGAATTGTACTCCACTTGGTCCAATTACTATTACATTTAAGAAACAGGAAACATATATCGTGTTTCTATAGAGTTTTAGTGTAAATCTACTAATGTTCTTTCACGAATACCGTTCTCTTCTTGGCGTTTTCGAAGTGTCCGTCAAGAGGATGTAGATAAACATTTTGAACAAGTGGTATATTTATACTAAAACAATAGATTATGAGCTCGAGATTTCTATCGCGTGATAGTTAACGAGGCGAGCCCATAATCTAATTGCTTAATAGAAACACGGTTTTAAACCAATAAGCCCAGTATTTGCTTTGGGTTATTTTCTAAGAAACTGGGTAAAGGTCTTTTGTACTGATATAGAAAGTGCGGTACTGAATAATGGCTACGCCACCAACTGGATAAAACCTTCTACCGGAGTAAGACAAGGATGCCCACTTTCTCCCTACTTGTTCATACTAGCCACAGAACTTATGTCTATGAAAATTTGTCAATCCAGTGTTGTCAAGGGAATTTCAATATTTGAAAGGGAATTAAAATTAGAAAATGTACCCTCTTTTTATAAGGACATTCTGTTGTTCTTTCATGAACTGAAGGCTCTTCACGGATGCCATCATGAGATATAATTCTATTTAATAATAAGGAAATCCGCATTGA